TCCCCCGGTACTTTCACTTCGCGACAGAAAACAACTTCAAATCGAGAAAAAGCTTATTTTCTATTCAACCAAGTACTATGTTGCCATTCCAGCTGATCCAGTGAAAGTATTCATCGAAATAATACTTAAAAAAAAAAACACTGCCATTGTTGAGAATTCAAGTTCAAAGAATCAGATGAAACTCACGGTGGCATTGACATTTACTGGAACGTTCAAACCCCCGGCCATGTCACCGCCGTACAAAGTTTTATTCTGCATCAATTCACTTGGATCATCCGCCCGAACTTGGGCAGAAACGTGAATCAGCAATGCCAGCAAGGCCTTGGCCTTGTGCTTTCGAAGCATTTTTTGTATGGTCAATTATTCTTCGTGCAATAACTCTGAAAAAAAAAATTTAAAAATCAATGATTTCGAATTACTGTACTGGGTTTATTTCTTTTTTTTATTTTAGTTTCGATAAGCCACACAATTCGAGGATTATGTGGATTTGTGGCTCATTTTCTGCGAGTCCTGGTACGAACATTTTACATGAGATTATCGACAAGCTGAGCACTTTATTTTCAAATAAAAAAAAGAATATCTTTCTGAACGCCAAAAGGATGCAAAAATGGTGTTTAATGATTCCAAACCACAATGTCACACTATTTTTGGGTTTTTGCCATCGAATTTTTGAAAGTTTTCTTCCAATTTGAAACTTAAATCCTCGTGAAGTCTGAGGAACATACAGTATGCTACACCTATAACGCATCAAACGGACTTCGAGAAATTCATGGTTTTATCGCGACTTTTACTCTGCTTGACTCTTTTTTTTCATTTGAACCAGAAATCCAACGACACTTTGACTGGCGTTTTTTTTTGGAATTCCAGAGAATAAGAACAAAAGGCTTGTTCTATTGCAAAGGCACGACGTCGAATGCGAAGTTCAACGCTTTTTATCCTACCTCATCGGGCAAGAAACTGTACAAAACTAGTGTTCTGTTTTGTTTTCGAATTTCTTGAGGGAGGCAGACCATGCTTGAAATAATTGGTTATTTCGCTTCAAAAAGATCAGGAACGCCTATAATGGTGAACATGTAAACAAACTCGTGTTTGTTTTTGAATCTTTTTGCTTGTGCTTTGCTGGAAAACAATCCTACAGAAGAGTTCAAGAGAGTTCAAATCGTAACTTTTATGAAGTTGAAGTCTTAATTTGCGAAACGAATGATAGTCAACCTGAAGTCTTTTTTAACCTCTCCGTCAAGAATATTTCGAAGGAATCCAATCTTCATTAAACATCATAGTATTTTGAAATGTATTGGAAATAAATTAGGGTGAAAAATTCTAAAAACCATACTGTAGTTGAACTCGAAAATTTGAACTCGACTCATTTAAGCACCAAATTTTCTGCATTGCGGTGAAACTAGCCATCAATAAGACGTGAAGAAAGATATACAGAACATTTTTTGCTCATGGAAAACACAGAAAAAAGCCGAAGGCCTGAATTATTTTTCAACACCTTTGCATTTTTGGTATAAATTGGTCAGTAGTTCACAGGTGAAAAAATAATTTTCGATGCATTGTGGTAAGAATTCACTGTCAGATTCAGTCATTTTTGAAATTCCAAGATTTTCATAGACCTCCTTTTCTGAAACGACGAGTTCCATTTGTACAGAGTTTTGAAGAAAAATTTATCCAAAGCTCCTCTCGTGCAAAAAACAAAACTGGATCAATATACAGTATTTTTTTCAATTTTTTCTAAACGTTTTTGTCAAGATATCTGGAAAAATTCATATCATGAGACTGCAGTCAAACCTTCAGTCTCAAATGTTCTTGGTAATACAGTAGTTCCAAGATTTCTGGGACAATCCGGTGTGAATTCCACCCAACGCTCAGGAATTCGGGTGCCTTAGCAGTCCTGGGGGTTTTTTAGGCTCGTAATGTTTAGTTAGCCAATTAAATGTAAAAATTGGATACACCTGTTTTACGAAATATAATCGACTGAATTTTCTGAAATATTCTAGATCGATTTTCAGGATGTCTTCATTGGAATGATATTGATGAGTGAATTATTTGGGAAAGTACTTCTTTCACTTTTCATATCTAGAATTTTATCTCTTTTGGAGTAAAAGCTTCTCTAGCATTGCAGCATGCAAAATATTGTACGTACAGTACGTATGCGAAGTCTGCACGGTCAGCTGATTTTTGCCAGTGAATTGTCACGTGCTTTGATAAGAAAGTATTCAATCAAACCCTCATGTTTTATTAAATTAAAGCAAATGCAAGGTGTTCAGCTTGTTTCCAGATGAATATTGACTGATTTTCACAAATGCTTTCAAAAATGTTAAATATGTCATAAAATTATCTGAGAATAACAGACTGACTGCTGCATGCCTCTTGTAATGTGTGTTCAGCTATTGCTGTGTGTTTCTGTTTTCTTTGTAATAATAATTTAAAAATGTTGGGGATTTGAATTGATTCCCATGTATTGTGATTCATTTTCTGTAAGTAATTACGCAGTGTATTATTTGTTATTCACTGGAATGTGTCTATAATGCATGTGTGTCAGAAAGGATGCGGGAGAAACATTTTGAATCGTGTCAATCAATACTACCCAGGAACAAATACAGCCTTCACGTTAACAAAAAAAA